CGGTGGCCGCTATACCTGATCTGATAGTGTGAGGCCACTCTCTGGCGGTGACCGAAGTCGCTTCCATCGGTTCCGGCGACCACTCGACCTTTGGATGACATCACTTGAAGACAATATGGTGTGTGAATGGTATGGATGTGTGAATTGAATGGTATTTTGGGTGCAAAGAGAGAGAAATAGTGTTGAGAGTCGACTGATAGACACAACTCGTGTGAAAGACTGAATGCCAGACAAACACAGCGTTCAATGTTATGCTTACGTCTAGTGCTATCACTTTAGCGCATACTTTCATACCATTGGCGTCAATAGTAATCAATGTTTGCTGTGATAAATGTTTGTACGGCTTAAGTGTTTTTCCCATTGGTTTCAAATTACTGACACCTTTTTCACGTCTTCCGATGCGATCAACAAATGGTTTATCTCATGGTTTAATTTTATTTTGTAAAAAATCAATGTTTTGGTTAAAATATAAATTATTTAATTATTTTAAATGGTGAATAAATTACAATTCATTTATTGCTTATCATTATGTAATTATTTGATAAGTTTTTAAAATGTAAAACAAACAAAAAGTTTTGCGAAAATAATCGAAAAGTTTTTATATAACGTAATGTGATATTAAAATGTTTGGTGAAAAATCAATCAATAAAATTCATTGGATTTTTTGGTTTTATTTCGTTTATTGGGGATCACATCCGAAGAGCCGTTCGCCGATCTCTTACCGCCGGGCCGTTGAACCTTAGATTTGGCGAGCAGTGACTTATCTGCCGGACCGCCAACCGATCGGTTCTGTTGTTTCCCAGAACCAGACAGAAGTGGATGCGCTTCTGATTAACACAAAACACATACAATTCATAATCACATTTTGAATACCAATCAAACAAAACAAATCAATTCATACCGTCTTTTGGCCCTTCCTTCAGATCGATGTCTATTGTCTTAGATCTTCGAGACTTTGTTGGAGTTTCAGTGCGAGGGGTGGGAGTAGTGGGCGGCGCGGGTCCGTCCAGTTCGGGGTCATCGATATCGGGTGCAATCGGGAGGTATATGAGAGCGCTTTGGTCGTCGTCTTCTTCGTCACTATAATTATAGAAATTAAAGCTATTTTCGGTTTTTAGACAAGTTTGAGATCATAAGACCTGCTGAGAAATGCATGAATGGTATGAGGAGTGACCACATCTATGACGACATCTTCATCTTCGTTGTCATTGGAAACTCTGGCAGGAGTTCTGTCTTCATCTTCATTTTGGTTTTATTTCGTTTATTGGGGATCACATCCGAAGAGCCGTTCGCCGATCTCTTACCGCCGGGCCGTTGAACCTTAGATTTGGCGAGCAGTGACTTATCTGCCGGACCGCCAACCGATCGGTTTTGTTGTTTGCCAGAACCAGACAGAAGTGGATGCGCTTCTGATTAACACAAAACACATACAATTCATAATCACATTTTGAATACCAATCAAACAAAACAACAATTTATACCGTCTTTTGGCCCTTCCTTCAGATCGATGTCTATTGTCTTAGATCTTCGAGACTTTGTTGGAGTTTCAGTGCGAGGGGTGGGAGTAGTGGGCGGCGCGGGTCCGTCCAGTTCGGGATCATCGATATCGGGTGCGATCGGGAGGTATATGAGAGCGCTTTGGTCGTCGTCTTCTTCGTCACTATAATTATAGAAATTAAAGCTATTTTCGGTTTGAAGACAAGTTTGAGATCATAAGACCTGCTGAGAAATGCATGAATGGTATGAGGAGTGACCACATCTATGACGACATCTTCATCTTCGTTGTCATTGGAAACTCTGGCAGGAGTTCTGTCTTCATCTTC